GGGGGGGGGGGGGGGGGGGGGGGGGGGGGGGGGGGGGGGGGGGGGGGTATCAAGTTCGCGGAGCTCGTCGGTGTCGAGCAGCATGGGCGGTAGAGCCGGGGCGGAGGAACTGGTCGGAGCCGGGCGAGAGGAGGAGGAGGAGTGGTCGGTGGGCCTGGAGCTGCACGATGAGACGTTCGGCAGCGGCGGGAGCGTGTCTCTGGGCCTGGTGTCGCCCGCCCCGGCGGCGGTCCCCGACAGAGGAGCGGACGGAGGTATCTACGACCCCCACGCCTGCTCCGCGCGCATGACGCCTACGAGCAGCAGTTCTTCCCTCTCGCGTCTCTGCTGGGGCAGCGGCGGAACCGGCGATAGCGCGGGCGGCGGGGGAAGAGACGTTACCCGTGGGGGGAGGCCACGCCGCCACACGCGGCGAGATCACGTGGACATGCTGAGCCAGCTCGAGGCGGAGGGGGTGTTCGCCGCGGACGACAGCTACTCGCCCTGCGGCGGCGGTGGTGGCAGCCGCGGAGGCGGCGGCATGGGCGGGGTCGCGTTTTCGCCGGAGGCGAGATCGATGTTCGGGGGCGATGGCGAATCGAGCCGGCCGGGTGGTTGTAGAGAAGAGCTTCTCACTCTAACGGCTATCAAGCAGGAGGAGGAGGAGGGAGGGAGCGTGCCCTGTGAGATGCCGTTGCTTCTGTCGAGCGAGGTGAAGCAAGAGCTGTCCGAAGACAAGCCCTTGGTAAGCGCTGCGGCGGCGGCGGCGGCAGCGGTTGCGGCGGCAGCAGCAGCAGAGCCACAGGCAACAACAGCAGGGGGGGCGCTTTGTTCTGGTGGCACGGCCCCGCTAGTGGAAAAAACGGTCACGAAAGAAGCAGCGGCGGCGGTGACGCCGCCGTCTAGCGAGCCGGAGACGGCTCGTGCCGCGGTTGCCCCAGATCCGAATCCTGCGGCAGCAGCAGCGGAAGAAGCAGCAGCCGTGTCGGGGGAATCAACAACGGCCACCGGTCCTTTCGCTCGGCCAAAGAGTGAGCCGGTTCCGGCTCCCGCCCCAGTGGGGGCGAGTTTAGCCGGCGCCGCGGTCTACTCCGCTGCTGCCGTCCCTGACAACGCTGCAAGGACCGCCTCCTCTGAGCCTCGCAGAAGCGACCCCGGCGAGCCGCGAGTGTCGACCGAAGCTACTCGCGCAGCGGCAATGTCGTCGACGGCGGCGGCGGCAGCGGCAGCACCAGGGGCGGCGGGAGAAGGCGCCCCGACCGCCCCGGTGTTCTTCTCCGCCGAGGACGTAGGCGTAGGCGTAGGTGCCACCGGCGAGGGCCTGAGCAGGTGCTCGGCAGTGGTGCCGGTACCGGTGGCTCAGCCCGCGACGCCTTTTCTTGGGACCGGGGGGGTGGGGGGGGGCGGCGGCAGCAGCAGCAGCCAGGGNGGGGGGGGGGGGGGGGGGGGGGGGGGGGGGGGGGGGGGGGGGGGTATGTTGTTGGCGCCGCTTCGGCCGACGAAACGGCGGAGATCTTCCGGATTTCCGGCGGCGCTCCTGCAGCCCCGGGAGGTGAGGTACCAGTGCGGGGCGTGCGCGGCGAGCTACGCGGCGACGGTGTCGGGAAACCCATGGTGAGGCGTTTTTTCGCGTGATGGGTTCAACATAAGAGAGGGTGCATTTTCCGCTTTTCTGTTGTAGGCGGTATCGTTCCCGTACAGTTGTTACCGTACCGCCGGGTTGTCGTGCGTCACGCTTGCTGGGAAAGGCCCCTGGTGTTCCGTGTTGGGGTTAATTGTATATGGCAGGAGTCACAAATACAGACATCGCCTTAGATGGTTGGCTGCTGCAGAGGCGCGCACAGGCCATGCGAGGAGGGATACGAGAAATCGCGGGATGTGACAGGTGCAATACGACGGTGTCGTGACCGATTTGGCGATGCGGTGCTCGTTGAGCCGATTCTCCAGGAGGTCGTGCCGCGTCACCACCGAGCTATTTCAGAACAATTTTTTAACCCAATCGAGGAGAGCTCTCGGGGAAGCGATCTTCAAACGAAGCCCGAAGCGTACGTGCGCAGCTAAACGGCGTCTTGGAAAGATTGCGCCTACTTAATTGGCGAGGAGTTGTTGTTTTCCTGCTATCTGGTACGCTCCAGGAAGGCTTTCCGCGGGCCTGCCATCATACAGCAGTACCCCGGAAAACCGGTTCGATCGATTTTCGCTACCGCATCACCGGCCGCTTCTCCCAGACCTGTTTCGCTATCCGTAACCAGGCTTCTCGCCCTCGTGCGTGGCACAAGAATTGCTTTTGGCTCAAGCTAGGATGGGTGTGCTTGGCGCCCCATGAGCGTGCGCACTCAGTCCTAACACCCGCTCCGCGCTACGGTACTGCTTCCGTGCCCCACTCCGCCGCTGTGTTGTCACTTCCGATGCTGCTCCTTGTTTCAACGGCCCGGGTCGTGATGATAATCCGTCGGCTTAAGGTGGCTGCTGGTGAGGCAGGAGTGCCCGACATGCCACAAGATGCAAATACCTCGCGTGGACATCTTAAATCCCACCAATAACGTCGAGAGTCACATCGCGTTTCTGACGGAGGTGGGCGCGTGCGGAGGGTTTTGGGGGGGGCGTACTCTTGTGTTTTGGATGCCTTTACGGTTAGACCATCGACCACGCGTCCTCGAGAGGACGTAGCGTTGTTCCCACAAGAACGAACACAGATGGGCAATCGTTCCTTCCTACTTTGNATTGACCACGCGTCCCTTTCGAGACGGAGCACCGTTCCTACCCCTGCTAGAGACACCACCAACATTTGGGAGCTCTTTACGTTTCTGCCACAAACTACATAAAAAAAATTTGCACATCTTATCCCCGTCCTCTACGGCCTCTTGTGCCCACCATCTATCCCCAATTTTCGCGATCGTTTTTTCGCTGTTGTCTAATTTACTTCTCCCCAACTATGTGGGGTCTACTCTCCTCCGATTTGCCACATGGACATGTCTGTCTATCCTCCTCTTCCTCTCTCCTACGGCTGCTGTACCTCTTCCTCCGTTCTGGCAAGTCCAGATCGCCTACTCGAAATTGCAACTTCAGTTTTTTTGCGTAGTCCATGGGGCCGTCCAAGTAACTCTTCATCCCTATCCCTTCTTTCAACTTCCCGTATATCTCCAAGTGGTCTTCGCTTCGTACCTTCTTCCGAAGGGTTGCCTCCTCCCTACTTTCTAGCATCTCCTTGACTTTCTTCTTGAACCC